AACCTACTACAGTTAGAAGTTGCCTAAAATATATACATATATAAAAGGCATTTAAATGGATTTACCCTATAATGGGGGAGGGAGATATGCCAACTAGATACCATACACTACCAAATAAAACTGTCAGTACCAAGAATAGGTTACCTCTTTTTTAGTTACTGGCCAATGGAATCTCAACACCCCCCCCACACACACACACATAAAGCATTATAGACCACTGCCAATGCTATTAGTTACCCTCCAGAACCAACCTGCAGGCAAGGTATGCCTATAGGTACAATCATGGCAAAAATGTTATGGGTGTAACCAACTATGTTTTTATAAGTTGGATATAAGGTCTTATGGTAGTTTAATGAGAATAGCCCCTACAGGCTTGTATATTTGAACACTTAGTTCCCAGTTGGTGGACTGTTTAGTAAGGACTAGGAGGTGTGGCCTTGTTGGAGGAGGTGTGTCACTTAGGGGTAGGTTTTGAAGTTTCCAAAGCCCACACCAGGCCCAGTCTCTCTCCCTCTGCCTGCTGCTTGAGGATCAGGATGTAAGCCCTCAGCTACTGCTTCAGCACCATGCCTGCCTGCCTGCCTGCTGCCACGTCCCCCACCATGATGATTATGGACTAAACCTCTGAAACTGTAAGCAAGCTCCCATTTAAATGCTTTCTTTTATGAGATGTGTTGGTCATGGTTTCTCTTCACAGCAATAGGACAGTAACCAAGATAGGCCTGCTCCATGAGATGGAACCCTGGGCTTGCTGATCAGACAGTCTAGCTGGAATAGTGTGAGCTCTGGGTTCACTGAGAGATCCTGTCTCAGAAAAATAAGGTAGAGAGAAGTAGAGGATGACACCTGACCCCCAACCCCACATATACACACACTTTTAAAACACATGAAAAAAGAAAATCAGTCAAATAAATTTCTTTATAATCTCATTTTATTTTTCTCCTCTTCCTCCTTTTTTTTGTTTCATTTTTGTTTTTTGAGACAAGATCTTTAAAGGTGTGGTATCATGTGCCTGTAAGAACAACCAGGAATATATAATAAGACCCTGCCTTCCTCTCACACTCTCCAACACCAAAAAAACAAAAAACAAAACAAAACAAAAAGACAAGGCCTCATGTAGCCCAAGCTGGCTTTGAACTCCTGACCCTACTGTTTCCCAAGTGCTGGGATGTACCACCACTCTGCTTCCAGTGTCATTATATATTTATATTTATATATATATGATGTTAATATATTCAATATATTATTAATATATTGTTAATTGATAATTATCTAATTAATATAATATAGTTAATCACATAATTAAATAATTAATTACTAATTTCCAATTATTAAATATATATTGAAAATTCCGTTTCCACATAGTTTAAATTATATTGTATATATAATTATTTTCTTCATCGGTATACTGATATTTCAAAGCTAACAAAAGTGTCAAGGCAACATATTGTTAATTAACTTAGACAAACTTTGTACCAAAAAAAATTGTTACTGCAGGTTATCTATAATGGCTCGGCCACAACACTGTCCACCTGCTGTGCAGTTCTAGGCAAGTTGACTTAACCTCCTGAGCCTCAGTTTCTTCATGTCCATGGTGTTAATCAATGACATACAGACTCTAAACTGGGTAAAGTACCACAGGGTGTCATTCCAGCACTCAGGAAGGGCAGAAGGATCAGGAGTGCAATATCTTCCTTCTACACAGTGTTGCGGGCAGGCCCGGGCTCCACGACTCCCTTTCCGCAAACAAGCAAGCAAACAAACTCACACCATATAGTCTTAGGAGGCTGCAGCAGATGGATTGCCATGAATTTAGGTACAGCCTAGACCTCATAGTGAAACTCTATCTCTAAAAACTGAAATAAAAGTTAAGCATACATACAGTGTACTGGCTTGTTTTATGTCAACTCGACATAAGCCAGAGTCTGAAGAGAGGAGGGAGCCTCAATTTAGAAAATGCCTCCATAAGATGGGGCTGTGCGAAGGCTGTAAGGCATTTTCTTAATTAGTGATTGATGTGGGAAAGGCCCAGTCCATTGTGGGTGGTGCCATCCCTGGGCTGGTGGTCTTGGGTTCTGTAAGAAAGAAGGCTAAAGGAACCCTGTGGAGCAAGCTAGTAAGCAGCACCCCTCCATGACCTCTGCATCAGCTCCTGCCTCCAGGTTCCTGCCCTGCTTGAGTTCCTGTCCTGACTTCCTTTGATGATGAACTGTGTGATGTGGAAGCATAAACTGAATAAACCCTTTCCTCCCCGAGTTGCTTTGGTCATGGTGTTTTATCACAGCAATGGTAATCCTAATTAAGACATATGGGATGGTGAAAACTAAATAAGGTAATATATGTGAAGTTTTTAAAAATTACGTTTGTTGCATGTGTGTGTGTCAGGCACACATGTCACCATGTTCATGTGGAGGTGAGAGGACAGCATGAAGGAGTCAGCTCTCTGCCTGCCTCGTTTGCCCTGGGCACTGAACTCAGGTTGGTCAGGCGTGAGCCATTTCTCTGCCTTATTCCAAGTTTTTCACACAGCACCTGTCCCAGAGTGAATATTTAACAAATACTAGAAACTACTATTGTCTTGATACAAAAAAATCTCAGGTTTGATTACCTCCCCGGGGCGGGCTAAAAAGTGATGAAAGACCAGGAAATAGAATTAGTAACTCTCAACTATCAGCCTCAGCACAGGGTGGAGGGCTCGCGGGATCCAAGGTTAGTAGTTACATGAAGACATGTTTTTATTTGTTTGTTTTACTTTATGGTGCTGGGGACAGAACCCAAGACCTCACGAATATAAGACAAGCAATCTACTGCGGAGCTACACCCCAGCCCAGATGTGTTTCATTTAGTACGCATAATGTTTGAACATTATAGAAATATAAAATAGCCAGTATTTCATAGCTTCTAAATCTACAAAAATGAGAATTTACATTATTCAACTGAATATATCTTTATTTAGTTATCGTGTGTGTGGATGTGGCTTATGTGAGTCGGAGGTCATGAGGGGGTTATTCTCTTCTTCCGCCATGTCGGTCCCAGGGATAGAACTCAGATGCTGAGGCTTGGAGGCAGGCAACTTTACTCACAGAGCCATCTTGCTGGCCCCTTATACAACTTAATAATGCTAATGTTTTAAAACTTTTTTTTTTCAGAGCTGAGGACCGAACCCAGGGCCTTGTGCTTGCTAGGCAAGTGCTCTACCACTGAGCTAAATCCCCAACCCCATGTTTTAAAACTTACAAATATATACACTATATATTGTATATATAAATGTATACAAATATACACAAAAATCCAGGTTTCTGATGAGGCCAATTGGGGGTAGTAGTGGCACGTGCCTGTAAGCACAGCTCTGGGAGAGGTCGGAGCAGAAAGACGGAAAGCCAAGCCCTGATTGGGATACAAAATGAGTTGAAGCGATGTCCCCATAACTATAGCTCAATAGGGGAGCCCAGCGTGCATAAAGCCCTGGGTTTGCTTCTCTAGAACTGAAAAGAAAAAGTGGCAACATGACTTCCCTATTAGATGGTGCATGCTCATTTGCTGCAGCCCACGCCCTTCTACTATGCCTTTAAGCTGACCGCTTCACCCACCGCCTAGCTCTTGTGGCCATTAGAATTGGAAAGCCCTGGGGTTTCTTTTGTAAACATGCCATGAAAACCTGGTGCTTATTGTTCAAGTTGTCTAAGTGTGAGGGTTTTTTTAAGCCTACCCAAATATTAAATTTTCTTTATGTAATAATGTATTGATAAACATGTTAAGAGAAGAACTATAAAACACAGGCATCTTAAAATTCTATTAATTCACAGTCTACAGTTGTAGCATATATATATTTATAGTGATCAAATTTGAAGTACTTAATATCCCTAAGAGTAAATTATCAGCGTAGTGGTGGCACACACCTGTGATCCTAGTACTTGAGAGGGAGGTGTAGGAAATAGGGATCAGAAATTCAAGGTCATCTTAGCCTCTGTAGGGAATTTGAGGCCAGCCTGGACTAGGTACAGACCTTCTCTCAACAAAACAAAACTTAAATCATGATTGCTCCAGATAACTAACAAGTGAAGAGCTGTATAGATTTGTGCCTATTTGGGTCCAGGCAACTCCTTGGACTTCAACTTTTCCTTAAGTGGACAAGACTGCAGAACTAGAAAGAGGGTTAAGTAATTCCAGTGAAATTCAGGTGTCTATTAATGTCACCCCTCCCATTCCTTCTGGCTCCTATTGAAGGAAAAAGTGCTACATGAAAAGGGGCATTTCTTAAGCTCTATGCTTGGCATCATTTAGACAGAATTTTCAAAGAGGCCTGGAGGGGATAAAGACTCCCAGCACTGAAACTGACGACTTAACCATGATGAAGGCTAAGACTGTTCCCAGCACTCAAAAACATATACATCGAATTGACCAGTCGTTTGTGTATATATATTTATTTATTGGGTTTTTTGTTTTGTTTTGTTTTCTCGTTTGTTTGTTTTTGAGACAGGATTTCTCTGTGTAACAGCTTTGGCTGTCCTGGAACTCGCTTTATAACCAGGCTGGCCTCGTACATTAAATTTGGGCGGTAAGCACTGTCTGAACAGCTCAGAGGAAATTGCAGGGCCTAAGGTGCGCATCCTGAGATGAGACAGCCCCAGTTCCTCCGGAAGGTCAGTGGGCGGCGTCTGCAGGACGCCGTGACAACAAGGCCAGGACCATCACTGCCACCACAGCCAGCACCTCGACACCCGGCCAGCATCCTGACATCACGACAGCACCTAGTCAGCACCCCAACGCTCCGACAGCCCGTAGTCCGGTGTCCCGACACCGGTCCAGCACTCCAAACACCCGGCCAGCACCCCAACACCCGACTGGTACCCCGACACCCGCCTGGCACTCTGACAGCCTGCAACTCAGCACCGGGGTACCGGGCCAGCATCCGACAGCCAGACAGCCCGCCGCCCAGCCCGCACCCAGACACCCCGCCGCCCCGGCCCGTACTCGCGCGGGGTCCCGTCTTGGTTCACCTGGTGGCGTCGGCGACGTTCCTGACGAACAGGGAGGTGTTGGGGGGCCTGGAGTAGCGAGACATGCCGCTCGCGGCCCCGCTCCCAGCCGCCCGCCGCGCCCCCTCCCGGGCCGGCCGCGCAGCCGCAGACGCGGGCGGGGGGCGCGGGGCCTGAGCGACCGCGCGATCACAGACCTGACCACTGCCTCGGCTGCTGGGGAACAGACCCGATGATACCCACCGATCCAGGCCAGGAGACATGCCTCACCCAAGCAGCCCCAGAAAAGATTCCGGGCAGGGCTTCGAAAGAGCCATGAGCAAGGGACAGGGCCCCCACTGAGAGCATGCAAGCATAGCCTCAGCTTTCCGCTCCCCGGAGAGATCAACTCCATCTTCAATGGAGAACAAATGTGCACACACGAGTGGGGAGGAACCACTACAGCACAGCGGCTTTAAGTATAAAGGTCGGCAGCAGTAAACTGGGAGAGCATCAAAGACAAGAGGTCTTTTGTTTGTTTGTTTGCATTTTTGTAACAAGGTTTCAGGCCTAGAAACCCTTAGGTATTGTGGCTCCACACTTGAAGCTTCAGCTGGACTTAATAATAGGAAAGTTGAGAGTACTTTGTATCGGCTAGCTGGGCTGCTGTAACAAATGCAATACATTTGGTGGCTTAATGAAATTTATCCTCTAAGGATGTGGGGGGAGGAGGACTCATTTGGTGGAGGGTTTGCCTAGCATGCAGGAGGCACACTGTTCCAGTATCTCATGAAACAGGAATGGTGGTGGCCCCTGTAATCCCAGGGCTCGGGAGGTGATGGCAGAAGGATCAGAGGTCATCCTCTACTACAGAAGGAGTTTGAGCCAGCCTGGGCTAAGTGAGCCCTGTCCTCACTGATATTGCATAGATCTGCTCTTCCAATTTCCAGACATGTTTTGAAGCAGCTAAGTACCTCTTTCAGAACAACAGCATTCTGTCTGAGGGCCTGAGGCAGGAACGTTTCCAAGTGTAGACAACTAAGTAATATTACACCGGAGTGGGGGAGGGGTGGGGTTGGAAAGAAGGCTCAGCAGTTAAAGAGGACTGGCTGCTTTCGCAGTGGACCTGGTTCGGTTCCGAGCGTCCACATGGTAGCTTACAGACCCCTTAACTCCAGTTCCAGGGTATCCAACATCCTCTTCTGGCCTCTGTGGGGCACAACGCACACATGGAATGTACATACATACATACATACATACATATATACATTTAGGCAAAATGCTTATACACATAATAATAATTTGAAAACAGGAATACTGCACTAAGCTTGGCCAGTGTCTTAACCAGCTGTGTTGAGTAAGTGATGAAGCTGTGCTTTATCATCCTTTTGATGTTTCATGGTACTCCTAAGGGTCCAGACTAAAAACCCTCCCTGTCCCAGATTTTTAAAAAAATCACATTACCCAAAGTTCCAGGCTTTATAAGCGAAAGTCCTGCTTTGTTGAATCATGTCTTCCAAGCATCAGATGACACTCCCAGACTTGCAGAGGCTCATCAAGGAGAATAGCAGGTCTAGTGACAAGGGAGATGCCTCAGCAGATGAGAGTGCTTGCTGTGAAAACATGAGGTTAGAATTCCCAGCACCCGTGTGAAAACAAAAACAAAAACAACCTGGGCATAGCCACACACCTGTGAGCCCAGCGTTGTGAGGTCAGAAGCTTGCTGGCCAGCAAGGCCTGCAGAAGTGGAGCGGTCCAAATCAGTGAGTGACTCCATCTTCCCAGAAGACAGAGAGGTAGAGTAGAAGACACCCTGCAGCCTCCTCTGGCCTCGCACATGCACATATCACACACATATGTGATCCCTCTCATTAAAATAGAAACATTTTAAGTTAAAAGAATAAAAAGTTAGCCTAGAGTGATAATGTGGCTGGGGACATCTGCCCTGTGGTGGACATAAGATTCTGTGAACCTCTTCCCATCCTCACCTTCAAGCCTCTTAAGAAAATTATTTGACCTGAAAATTTTTGGTCTATTTCACACTTCTTAATTTCCTCCCAAAGACAGGACTTATATTTTTAAATATTTTAAGAAACTTTTGTGTCTTTTCTCATGTAGATACTAGCATTATTTTGCTTCCCCCCCCTTTGGAGATAGGGTCTATTATGCAGCATTGGCTGGTTTGGTACTCACTGATGTAGCTCCAGGTAGGCTTGAACTTACAGCAATCCTCCTGTATCAGCCTCTGTAGCACTGGAATCACAAGTATGCACCACTATACCTTGGATTTCACTTAGAACAAAAAAATAAAGTTAAAAAGTTGTAACTGAGCCAGGTATGGAGGCACACACCTTTATCCCAGCATTTGGGAAGCAGAGGCAGGTAGATCTCTGTGAGTTCCAGGCCAGCCTGGGCTACAAAGCAAGTTCCAGGACAGCCAGGGCTATTATACAGAGAAACTCTGTCTCAAAAAACCAAACCAAACAAAAACAACCAAACAACCAAACCCAGAACTTGTCATTGAAATCAACACAGAGCTGGGGATGTAGCTCAGTATGGCAGGGCTCTTACCTAGTGTGCATTATCCTTGGATTTGAGTACCAGCTCTGTAGCAATACATGAATAAGACGAAGAAATTACAGATCTATAAAGGGTATTGTAAAAAGAAAAATGTCAGAACCCCCTTTTAACTGTTAAAACTTGTCTTAAGGGACAATTTTTTTTTTTTTTTTTGAGACAGGGTTTCTCCGTGTAGCCCTGGCTGTCCTGGAACTCACTCTGTAGACCAGGCTGGTCTCGAACTCAGAGATCTGCCTCTGCCTCCCGAGTACGCAGATTACACAGAGCTGGGCAAATTCTTAAATCATTGTGTATGTGATATTGAAAGTAGATGGTGGCTGGTGAGACGGCTCAGGAGACAAAGGGGCTTGCCACCAAACCTGACACTCTGAGTTAGATTCCAAGGACCTGCATGGAGGAAGGAGAGAACAGACTCCAACAGCTGTGCTCTTCCCTGCTGTGGGATGGTCTGTATGGCAAATGTGTTGCTCTGATTGGTTGGTAAATAAATCACTGATTGGCCAGTGGCCAGGCAGGAAGTATAGGCGGGACAAGGAGGAGAATAAAGCTGGGAAGTGGAAGGCTGAGGCAGAGAGACAATGCCAGCCGCCGCCATGACAAGCAGCATGTGAAGATGCCGGTAAGCCATGAGCCACGTGGCAAGGTATAGATTAATAGAAATGGATTAATTTAAGCTGTAAGAAAAGTTAGCAAGAAGCCTGCCATGGCCATACAGTTTGTAACCAATATAAGTCTCTGTGTTTACTTGGTCAGGTCTGAGCGGCTGTGGGACTGGCAGGTGAGAGAGATTTGTCCTGTGGGCCAGGCAGGAAAACTCTAGCTACACTTCCCCTTACTGTACACATACACAAGTCAATAAAATGTAATTAGACCAGCAAAAAAGAAAGACAACAAAGGCATATAGGGAATTCTATCTGATGTTTGATATTTACTTGGAGGACTTTCTCTAGCAAAATAGCTAAAAGCAGTGGTTGTCATTCAAAATCCAGGAGGTGGCTAAGGCCTTTCTGCTTGTTCTCTGTTTGCCCACCTATACTCTCACTCCAGAGAACCTCTCCTAAATAGTACAGGAGAACGCAACTCTGATTTCTTTTAGTTGTTGTTGTTGTTGAGACAAAGCCTGATGTGTAGCCCATGCTGCCCTGGAGCTCACGATGTAGTAAGGCCTAGTTTTGAACTCATGGTAACTCCCTACCTCAGCCTCCAGTACTAGGATTATAGTCCATAAATCACCATGTGCTGTGTGACACTGTTCCTGGGGTATGTGAACAAATGTCTACTCACAACACACCACAGTATATATATCACCAAAGATCAACTTGGTGAATCAATGAGTTTCATTAGGGTTACCTACAGGAATGTGGGTGAGGGGTTATTTACAGGAATGACTCAAAGACAGTTGCATCACCAAGGCCCATTCTAGTATCCATAACAGCTCAGAAGAGCTGGAAACTAGCTCACTGAGGAACCTACAGGTAACTAGACAAGTTGGAAAGTATCTTCCAGGATGGTCTGAACCTCTTCCAGGCAGCTTAGCTTGTCCGAAAGTGTCTCTCAGCAGTCTTTGTGGCTTATACATGCTTGAGAAGGGAGGGTCTTTGTGTATCAGGTCAGTTTCAGGGACTTCCTGAAGCCTTTCAGTTGTCCACCCCCTGAAATTAAGGAGCTTGCTATATATTATAGTCCAGGCTGGCCCTGGGCTCTGAGACTGTCCTGTCTCAGCTCTTCAAACGCTGATTTACAGATGTGTGTCACTACACACATCAGACTAGTGTAGCTTAATCGGATTAATTATGTAGCTTTGGTTTTGAGTGTCATAGTGGAGAACTATAACTAATTGAGAAATTAAGTTATGCTCGGGCCTGTGTGTGCACCTTGAAGCTTGTGTGGTAATTTGATGGAGTAATGCTGCAGGTCCCCAGCAGATGGCGGTAACTCCCCTGTAGTGAGCGCTGCCATATGCTACCTCAGCGGGGTCATAGCGGTGATGAGGGAGGTGATGGGGACAATTGTGTTGTTTCCTGGTTTGGTTTTTGCTGCGGTAGTTGTGTGGTGTGTTCAGTGGTACTGGAGATTGAGCCTGGGCCTTGTGACTGCCAGTCAAACGCTCTACCACAGACCACACCCCCAGATGACAGGAGATTTATATAGGATGAATTATAAATCCTTCCCTCCCCCCGCCTCCCCTATTATCTCGCACTTAGTTTATAAAACACCATTTCATATAGCCCAGTTGGAGAACATATGATTTCCTCCTCTTATGAATTTTATATTTATGCTGTGTGTAGGGAATATGTAAAAGCTCATTCTATGGTAACCTAAGAAGGAGGGGTAAGTTGATCTCTTTCAGAAGTCAGTGAGTATGTACTCTGATGTGAATCTAGATCTTGCATGTGTTGGATGTGGGTGTTTCTTTATTTGCCAGATCTTTAGGGTTGATTTACTGTATTCAAAGTGACAGGTGCCTGTAGCTGTCTGGTAGTTCTTAACTTTTCTTCCAATTTTCTGCTTACCAAGGCCTGTTCTAGAAGCCACACTACCCATCCAAAGAGACTATATCTCTCAGCCTCCCTTGCTGAGGTGCCAGCACGACTGTGTTCTGACCAAATACATGTAAACAGAAATGTTCCACAGAGATAGATGCCTGCCATAGCACCTGAAAGGGATTTTACTCAGCTTTTATCCTTGTTGCCTGGAGTTTGGATGGATAATGGAATGCTGTGAGTATCTTGGACTCAGGAGGATTTCTTGAGAAAAATCACATACTGATGACAGCAGAATAGAACCACACCACTTTGTCCCTGTTGGCAGTGAACTTGTAGCTAACACTAGATACCTTTTATATGAAATCTATCTCACTAAATTATGTGTTATTTTGGTTTTTTGAGTAAATGCTGCTGAATTTTATTTTGTTTTATTTTATCATTTATTTATTTATTTACTTTGGTTTTTTGAGACGAGTTTCTTGTGTAGCCTGGCTGTCCTAGAGCTAGCTCTGAAAACAAGGCTGGCCTCGAACTCACGGAGATCTGCCTGCCTCTGCCTCCCAAGTGCTGGGATTAAAGGCATGTGCCACCACTGCCCAGCTCTGAATTGTATTTATTTTTGAGACAAGGTCTCACTATGTAGCCTTGGCTGTCCTAGAACTCACTATGTAGAACAGACTGGCCTTGAAAGAACAGAGATCTTCCTGTTTCTGCCTTCTGTGTACTGATATTAAAGATGTGTACCATAGCTTTTTCTCAAGGTAAGTGCCAGGTGTATGCAGGGAGGAGAGGGTCATTTGATCCTGAGGACTTCTGGGTTTCCTGTGATTTGTGCTGGTGTTGAATCTGTATTGGCCAAGTGTCCAATGTCTGCCAGAGCTATCTTCTCTGCATCCAGGGCTTCTGCTGACCACACTTAGCTTTGCAATGTGCAGGCCAGGCAGATTCTCCCACATCCCCAAGATTCTCCAATTTATACCTCCTGAGGTAGCTTGAGGGTTCCTCCTAAGTGTGTTGAGAATGTGAGAAAAAAAACCACAGCTCTGAGATCTGAATAGGTGAACTTGGCTTCATACTTTCAAAACCCACTAAGCATCAATCACCCTGCTGGAGGCACATAGCTAAGTACTCAGTTGCAACCTCAGAACTTTTCAATTGTATATCAGTGAGTCTCGTGGAAGACAGGTAGGTGGTGACAGAGGTTGATATAGCCTCAGAATTATCAAACTCCACATTAACTTCATTTTATGTGTTCTGCTCTTGGATCCTGAGGTTGGGGTTACCTTTCCCTGTATCGTCACTGCCTGGGCCTAACCATTCCTTGCTTGTACTTTTTAGCTCGTGAGCATTCAGCCCATATGCTCTCCATAGCCTCCTCCCAGACTGTCACCCTGGGACTGGGGCAGGTTGAATTTAGGTTGCCAGGCTGGTGATCGTTCCCTGTTCTCAAACCCCTCACCCCTCGGGCTGTTCAGTTTGTTTTGTTGTTGTTTGTTTTTTTGAGACAGGGTTTTGTTGTGGGTTCGATCAGCCCACAACGGACCAAAGTACAGATACCACCAAAGTCCAGTGCTGTGAACCAATGAGTTCTGCCGGGGCTACGTATACAAATATGAGTGAGGGGTCACTTACCGGAGCAGGAACAACTCAAAGACAGCTCCATCACCAAAGCCCACACCAGCATGAGTGACCGCCCACAAAAGCGTTCAGCCAATGGTATTGGGGTGACTAACCCTATGGGCGTGGTCTTGTCTGAGTATGTGACAGAGTAAGACAGAGGAGCGGGCTTGCACTCTCTCTCTTGGGTGGTCGGAGCAGGAGCAAGCGATGGAGAAGCGTGGCTCGTTCTCATTGCCCTTGGGCAGAACGGCAAGACGACAGATGGATGCGCAGTGGCGTCAGCTTTGTTCTGTATTCCTGAGCATGTTATTCCCATTGCACCCCTTAATAAATTCTTGACCTGACTTTTGTGGGTTCTCACTTCAGGGTTTCTCTGTGTAGCCCTGGCTGTCCTGCAACTCACTTTTTAGACCAGGCTGGCTTCGAACTCACAGAGATCCGCCTGCCTCTGCCTCCCGAGTGCCGGGATAAAGGTGTGCGCCACCGCCCCCCGGCTAGAGTAGCTCAGTTTTAAACAGTAGATTTCAGGTCAGGGTGGCAGCGGCCATGGCCCTCTGAGGCCTGGGAACCCCTTCCGCGCCTGACCCATCCCACCTGGAGAAGCCACTGTCTCAACAAGCCTGGCAGCTGGGTTTGAGGCTTGTGCTGCAGCTGGGGCTGGCGCTCTCCTTCCAGCACCTGGCATGTCTTTTGGCCAAGGCGTCTGCTCCCCTCCTGTCCTGGAGAGCGCACTGGGGTTGCACACTGCTCGGCTTTCTCCTCGCTGGTGCGTGCCTTTTCGGGTCTCACACTTGGCGGCGTCCTGTCACTCCTTGTGTGGATTTCATGAAGCTTTTCCACTCTTCCTTTGTTTTTTTTTGTTTTTTTTTGTTTTTTTGATACTGGTACTTTGTTGCTGCATCACATATCACATAGAAGAAGCCTGCCATCTTACCTGGAAGTCTTGAAATATTATATTTTAAAAATAGAAATGAAACAGAGACATTGAAAAAGAAAATAAAGCCGAGTATGCAGCTT